AATAAACTCCTGTTTTAGAAGCTCAAGAACAAGTACATGAGGACCAAGTGTCTCTCGGCCAAGAAGCGGCAGAAACGGCAGAATCGTTCCTGCTTCCAGATCCTAAAACTAGATAGAAGGGGTTTTCTGGCTCCAAAGTGTCCCTCGGCAGCACTTGGAGAAGGAACTTGCCTGGGTCTCCTGCTTTTAATTAGCTTGTTTCTTTCATTTCATTCTCATTTTTCTTTAAAAAAAAAAAAAAAGTGATTAGTCTTTGTAATCACTACAAACCACAGTTTTGCTACTTAAAAAAAAGTGAATCAAAATTTTGCTTTTTGACACATGAACATTTATTAGCACTGCTATAACAACTATAAAAAGGTCAAACTTATATAACACATTTTATGATCAAACTGATTCAAAAATTAGATCAGTTCGCGTCAGGCTGTAATCAGTCTACATCACTCTGTGGCTAATAATTTATACGACATGAATGCCCTCAAATACGAAACATGTAAAAAACGTTTCTCCTATTTCATTGTTAAAGTTCTCAGAATGGACTGTGGTAAATAAAATTCAAGGCTTCCTCCCATGTCTCGGCCATATTTCCAAAGAACGCTGAATACTGGCGGCCAGTCATAGGGCTAAAACGGCTCCCTCCAGCACTGTGTGAGGCTGGGAGCGCTGAGACGCGTCGGGAGCTGGTACAGCACGGTGAGTCCCTGCAATGGAACGCTGCACCCTTCCAAAAACATTAGAAAGCTCTTTATGTGCTTTATGGCACGGTTGCTTTTTAATTGCAAATTGCAAGATAAAGAACACTGTGTACAGTAGGCAACTATTTCTACTCTTAGCAAGGTAATGCAAAACCATAAATTTTCAGTGATGTGGGCAGAAAATATCTTGAGGATAATAGGACCTGGTAATTGTTTTTGCCTCTGAGAAGAAAAACTGAGGAACAGGGATAAGAGAAAGATTGTTTCATATGGTCTTTTGAAATTTATACCACGTGACTGTATTTATTACCTACTCAAAAAAATAGAATATCTTAGAAAGAGAAAACTAAAATAACTACCAAATTATAATATATGTAGGTGCCACTGTAGTATGAATATTATATTGGTCGATAATAACATAATAAATATATTAAATAATATAATGATTATATTGATGTGTGAATGATAGCCCATGGCAACATAATTTTCTATGATGATATGGAATTCCAGTGGTGATAAGGAATTCTAGCTTGCTCTACCACCGCCATCACCCACTGCTGTCAAGTTGAATCCAACTCTCAGCAACCCTTTGGGACAGGGTAGAATTGCTGCATTGCCACCTCCAATTTCCAAGGCCGTAAACCTTTATGAAAGCAAACTATCCCATAGTTCTCCCACGAAGACTGAGAGGGTTAGAACGACCATCCTTCAAGTTAGCGGCCACACACTTAACCATCATAATCAAGTACTTTTGCCTGCTCTAGGCAACCCTTAAAGTCAGCCACTAAGTGAGAAAACAAGGACACACAAAATCTTAACTTTTTAAAAAGCCTCCCAATGAATGCACAATAGGATGTTGCTGTAATTGTGTTGCGGTGTATATAGAAAGGGAGCCCTGGTAATGTAACAAGTAATGCATTTGTCTGCCACCCACAAGGTAAGTAAGTAGTTTGAAACCACCAGCTGCTCTACGGGAGAAAGATGAAGTTTTTCCCTCCCACAGGCTGTCCTATAGGGTCGCTATGAGTCAGGATCAACTGGATGGCAGTGAGTTAGTTTTAATGGGGTGTAGAGACAGGAAGTAAATGTAAATCAGTGTTTTTTAGCTATGATCAAATACTTACTTATTAGAAGTATCTGACTACCCACAAAGTAAAAGGCCATGTGCTAGATACTAAAATAGAGGTAAGTGAAAAATACTTACTGTGAAAGAGAAAACCCAGCTGGGAAGAGAGAGATCAGTAGGGCAGGGAAGACAACATCTGAGCTGAGCCTTGGAGGTTGACAAGAATGGTGCCAGACACAGAAGGAACAAACACAGCCTTTGCAGACGCAGGAAAGTGCAGGACTCAGCACCAGTGAGCGGCGGTGTGTGGCTAAAGACGAGGGATCCTGGCAGGAAACGTAGCTTGAACAGCAAGCTGAAGCTACTCTGGTATGGACTTACAGACCATGAAAGAGAGTTTGGCCTTCATAAGTACAGACATCAAAACAAACATAAAATATGAAGAAGCTCCAAGAAGGTGAAAAGAGATCATCTGAGAGACGAGAGTAAGATTTATGAAGAATGGCTAAGGAGGAGGTAGATGGGTAGTTACAGCTCTATTCTCCCTGTACAGAAGATTAACTACCTAAGGTAGCAAATGGACACTGGGCCTCCACTGAAGTACTCCCCCAATGCAAGAACACTTCATTCTATTAAACTGGCATTCTATGATGCTCACCTTCCTGACAAGATTGCTGAAGACAAAGCAGGTGCATAAGCAAATGTGGTAAAGAAAGCTCATGGTGCCCGGCTATCAAAATATATAGTGTCTGGGGTCCTAAAGGCCTGACGATAAATAAGCAGCCATCTAGCTGAGAAGCAACAAAGCCCACATGGAAGAAGCACACCAGTCTGTGGGATCAGGTATCAGGCATCAAAGAACAAAAAATCATATCATTGTGAATGAGGGGGAGTGCAGAATGGGGACCCAAAGCCCATCTGTAGGCAACTGGACATTCCCTACAGAAGGGTCACGGGGAGAAGATGAGCCAGTCAGGGTGCAGTGTAGCAACGATGAAACATACAACTTTCCTCTAGTTCTTTAATGCCCACCCCCCCCCACACACACTATCATGATCCCAATTCTACCTTACAAATCTGGCTAGACCAGAGGATGTGTACACTGGTATAGATAGGTACTGGAAACACAAGGAATCCAGGGAGGATGATCCCTTCAGGACCAGTGGTGAGAGTGGTGATACCGAGAGGGTGCAGGAAAGGTGAGGTAGAAAGGGGGAACTGATTACAAGGATCTACATATAACCTCCTCCCTGGGGGATGGACACCAGTAAAGTGGATGAAGGGAGACATCGGACAGTGTAAGATATGACAAAATAATAATAATTTATAAATTATCAAGGGGTTGTGAGGAAGGGGTAGTGGGGAGGGAGGGGAAAAAATAAGGAGCTAGTATCAAGGGCTCAAGCAGAAAGCAAATGTTTTGAGAATGATGATGGCAACAAATGTGCAAATGTGCTTGACACAATGGATGGATGCATGGATTGTGATAAGAGTTGTATGAACCCCCAATAAAATGATTTTTTTAAAAAGATTAAGTATTCAAGTCTTGGGAGAATACAATAAAGATAAGAAAAACATCTGAAGGTGGGCAAGTAACTGTACCAAAAAGGAGGAGCAATACTCAATGCACCTCAGGGTAGGAAGTGGAGGTAAAGCCCACATGGTTTACAGCAGGTAAACATGAGGGCTCATGAACCAAGGCCTTCTATTTCAAGCAGCCTCTTTTTAGGGAGCACTTTCTGAGGAGTGCTCTCTCCCTCAGGATAGTGGATTCAGTAGGGCCCTGCATGACTCTCTCAGAAGGGAGCGTGTCCTTTCATCCTTGGCCACTCCATTGCTCATGGCTGTGAATGGACCAAGTCTCACCAAACCAGACAAAGCTAAAAAACAAAACATCAGTCGCCTGGAATAATCAGGGAGAAGGCATAACCAAATCACAAAAATATTTTTCAAGGAATGAGTGCTGGTATTTTATAATGTGCTAACATCATGAGCTGCCCAACTATGATGAATAAACTGTACAAATGTAGATGCAGTCATGCTTAGAGGCAACCTCCTTTCTTAACGGAGGTCAAGCACTTGCGCTGCTTATTATGAATTATAAATAACATAGCTATTTTCTTCCTAAATAGAGCAATGATAAATTTAGATATAGGCAGTCCCTGAGTTAAAAGCATCCAATTGCAAGAGAACTCTTTCTTTCCCTTTAATATTATGATTGAAACCTTAACTTTTAATAAAAGATTGAAACTTTTGACCAATCCTTACAAGAAATGAATTGTTCAACACAATCACCTTCATTTGCTGAAAGTGCAGCTTTTAAATCAATGAAAAGTTTTTGAGCTTCATCTTGCTCTAAGACCAAAACAAAACCACTGTGATTGAGCCAATTCTGACTCCTATTGACCCTTTAGGACAGAGGAGAGCTGCTCCACAGCGTTTTCCAAACTGCAAGTCTTTATGGGAGCAGACAGCCTCAACTTTCTTCCACAGAGTGGCTGGTGCGTTTGAACCCTCATTTTGTAGTTAGCAACCCAACCTTAACCCACTGTGGCAGTAGGGCTTCTTTCTTGCACTGAAGTAGGTTAAATAAGAGGCACATGGGCCTATTCCAACTACTAAAAATTCTTAAAAGACATAGCTAGGACTGGATCTCAATTATAAGCCAGGGATTGCCTGTACCACAAATTCTAAAACTGTAGGGTTGAAATTTATAGTTCAGCACATAAAAAATACAATGAGCCCTATAGGACCAGTGGTGTGAGTAGCAAAACAGGGAGGGTAAAGGGAGAATGGGTAGGAAAGAGGGAACCGATTACATGGAACTGTGTGTGACCTCCTCCCTGGGGGACAGACAACCGAAAAGTGGGTGAAGGGAGACGTCGGACAGGGCAAGATATGACAAAATAACCATTTATAAACTATCAAGGGCTCATGAGGGAGGGGGGACCGGGGAGGGAGGGGAAAAATGAGGACCTAATGTCGGGGGTTTAAGTGGAGAGAAAATGTTTTGAGAAACGATGTACAAATGCGCTTTACACAATTGATGTGTGTATGGATTGGGATAACAGTTGTATGAGCCCCTAATAAAATGTTAAAAAAAACAACGAATTATACAATATTGTAACTGAAAGGTAAGACACTTGCAAAAAGGATGAATATTGGCCCTGAGTAGCAAATTAGTGATTTTTTTCTAAAAACTTAAATCGTTGGCCAACCAAGCATAGAGGAAAGTATACCTGGTTGAGGGAATCAGGTTCAGTATCCCATTGAGAACGTAGCTGAACTCCGCATGATCCTGAGCAACAAGTGCCACCAAACCCTCACAGCAGGCTGTTCGAACCACGCCATTGTCACTGCAACACTTCTCCCACAGCAAGTTCAAAGCAGGAGTCTGAAATCCAACCAGAGATTAGAAGACATTTCTGATGAGCAACACCGCCGCCAATTTTCCATCCAGCGCAATTCATTCACAGAAGGCCAGCTTTCCTAGACAAAGAGGAGGCTCTGTCCCTCTGCAGACTACCATCGGTTTCGCAAGACGGAGAAGGGTTTTGTTCTAAGACCACTATCTTCTCTCAGCTGCAAAATAAGACAAGCTGCAGGCAGAGATGTGACCTCAGTGCAAGTGACCCAGCAAAGCCAATGGGGCTCAAAACTAAGGGCTGGCTCGAGCAGAGTTCTTTAGGCAATGTAGGCAAGCACAAATAATGGCCGCTATTCGTTAGTCTAAATTTATGCTTCAGGCATGAACAGCCATTTCCAGTTTTCAGAAATGTTCCTGCTCTCCTAAGACCCCTCCTACCAGGCATGCCCCCTTGCTCACCCACCGACCCTTCCCCTCCATGACCGAAGCCTAGTGCAAAGAGAGAGAGAAGTAGCATAGACCACAAGAAAAGCCTAGAAAAACATGACTTGCTCAAGAAAGAGCCTTTCCCCCGCCCCTTACATTCAGAGACAGCCTTGTTGGACGGAAAGGCATCGGAAAGGCAGGCAGGGAAACAGATTCTGTATTTTGCACAAAGGCCATAGAAGCAGGAAGTCTAGCTTTCCTAACTTTTTCAGAAGTCTCTGACCCAAAAAAGCGACTGATAAAACACTGTGAACATGTGGGTTCAGTCTATTTAGGTTTTTATTTAAAATACACAAACACATACACATAATGAAGCTATTTTTCCTCTCTCCTGACATGATTTACTTGGGAAATATATCAAATCCGTTCCAGGGAAAAAAAGGATCCCCAGCGCCCAAAGAATAACAGAAAGGATGGAATTCCGAATCAGACGGCTCTCACTGTCCCTGGCTCAGAGAGCCTCTTAGGATCCAGGGTTAGAAGACCAGTCCAGCAAACAGTCATCCGTGAAGGAAGGAGGTATTTATACTCCATTCCCCCTTTTATTCAGAAGGAAACATATTCACCTGTATGAACAATGTCAAAGGGCTCAAAATGTCATTAGTAAATCAGGAAAACAAACTGTTGCCTCAGGAAATACAGAGTTCTCCTGGAAATAAGCACTCATTTATTAATAGAAGAGGAAATATTTCGTTAAAGGGATTTAACATTCAATAAATCCTGGCAGTTTAAGTAAAACCACTAGCTCTTCTACACGCACATAATGTGATTACAGGCAGGATTAAGATCAGGGTTCTCAGAAAACCTAATTTGTACAACTACCTACAAACACAAGAAAAATTCCAATTAGCCTTGCATTTACTTCAACATGTCAGGAGAAGCTGTAAAGAACTGTAACTGGAAGCAGCTAATCAAAAAGCTTGGCTGATGGGGCAGGGGGGAATAAATTTCTCTCTGCTGTGGGAAAAAAAAATCTTATTTCTGGCTTCTACACCTTCAGTAGAGTATACCTTTAAGCACCTCTCTGAAGGACTTTCCCAATCAGCTGTTGAATGACAGCCTACTGGTAATCATAGGAGGTAGGGAGGTATTGAACTGATAACGATAGGTCTCGCAATTCAATCCCCCCAGCAGCTCCTCGGGAGAATGCAGAAGTCTGCTGCTCCTGCCGTGGAAACCCAAAGGGGCAGCTTCACCCTGTCCTGTTGCGGCTGCTTTGAGTGGGAATCGAGTCAATGGCAGGGACTTTGGGTGTTTAGGTCAATCTCAATGAGCACTGTCTTCCCTGTGCGGGAGTGAGTCCCGAGGTTTGCTTCCAGCGCCCATTGCCAAAGCATGACCTTCCCAACTGAGAACTCGCTTGTGGGGCAGGCATGAAGTCAGAGCCCAAAAAGAATCCCCAGTTCGCTTGCTCTATTGGCCAAAAAGCGTCCCCTCAAAGACAAAACCATCATCCTTTTCTACAGCATGTCTTCCCTTGCCGCCCCCTGTGTGACTTCTCACTGACACGCAGAAGAATTCTCTCCTTTTCCCTCCATATCTCACTCACGCTACAGCACATTCTAAAATGTAAAAGAATTCTGTGAAATAAAAAGATCACAAACACACATACCAAACGGGGAAGGAAATGAACTTTCCACAGTTTAAATTAATTTCTATGCAACCTGAACTGGGAAGGAAATAAGAGACAGCTATATATAATCAGCTTTTGGAAATGTTATCTGAGTAGAACACAGACCTGGTTTGTGGACTGGTGGATCTTCTCTGAAGACCCATGTTCCTTCAGGACTGCGGCAATAAGATGGCCCACAGCCTGCAAAACAAACAAAGCTACTGAGTACACTTATTTCAAACTGCTGCTGAAGGTAACCAATATTCATATTAATTGCTATGAGTATGCGTACACTTGGCAGTCAACTGGCAATATATAAAATCCCCGTTCATTGACTATGTGCTAGGTAGCAGGCTCAAAACGGGAGACTTCACATGCATAATTTATAATCTTCATCATAACCCTCAAGATAGGCATGATTTTCCCAAGTTACCAATAAACAAACTTCAGTTCCTCAATGTTTTAGAACTGCCATATTTTCCATTCCAATTGTCTTCACTTACGCATATATGAACTGCAACCCTGCTAGCAATACTTCTTGACTTACCCTTTTAACTACCTCCTACTGTCCTGATTGCCTTCACCTCGCTCTTCACGCCTACCTAGTTCTGCTATTGAGAGTTAACAATGACCATCATTCTGAATATAGGCTGGGAATACATTTGGCTAGTGCAGAATTCCCTAACTTGGGACGAGTAGATATTTGTGAATAGCTCTCAGTCTTGCAGTCTTTAGCGGAGCACAATTAAAAACATAGTACCTAGCCCTTATTGTTTCTTTTTATATTCCACATGGTGAAACTGATCTATTGCCTTAATGTTTGATGATCTCAGTCTTAAAAACATGTTTCCCATTTACATGAATAATAAATTTAGTTTCATTTACTGTTTTCTGTTTCCTGGTAAAAGGGCTATAACAAGACTTAAAGACCAGTGAATAGTTTGGGTGCCAGTTTACAAAATGTAGCATATGTCACTGAATATCGCTACCCACCAATCACAAGCTATAGACCACTTAAAAAGAAAAAAGCTACCAATTCAGCTATGATTTTTATAAAATGTTTACTGTTTTATTGAAAGAGTTATTTTAAATACTTTTAGAAAAACATGGCCAAGTTCATGCATATGCAGGCACTACTAACTATATCCCAGTTGCTGCTAACAATTATAAGATAAAACCCAACTTCAAAGAAGCTAAAATGTGAAAAATAAATATACATGAATCAAGAAAATATGGTGCTAACACTGAGCAGTAGTTACAAACAAACAGTAAGAAGTATTCACAGAGGACATGGTACAATCACAAGAATCTAATGAAACCAATATGAAACAAATGCAAATAAAGTAGCGATTCACATTTAGAAAAAAGCACTAAAAGAATATAAACTGATGATAACCATCCCCCACCCTCCACCAGGTTCAATCTCTCTCATTTACTTTTCAATTTCTCCTCCCAACATCAGAAAATTAGAGTCTAAATTAGCTGCAGAATACAAAAATCCAAGGATAAATCAGCTATATTGCTACTTTTCCCCTAACGATCATTGAAATAGATATCCTTCACCAATCAAAACATACATTCTTTGCAGTTAATCTAACAGATGCACACACAGGCATCTCCTGATTATCTATGCTAATGAAAGGACTGGAGGCACAGGAAAATGAAAATGTTGGACAGCAGCCCCCGAGCCTCCATCTTTCTTCACGATAAGGACCTGAGCTGCAATAGTGGGGTAGGGCTCCACCCAGTCAGGTAGAAGGGCAGTTACATAACATGTGTTCTACTCCTTGTGGGAAGGTTCCCCACTACCTAGCTAAATCAATTCCCACAGCAGGCATCTCTAGCATCAACTGTTGAATGCATCTATGATGCTGCAGGGTGTTAAATGTTCAGGCAGGTTTCTTCTGGTCCCCTAGGCCTACCCTCACATGAAAAGACAGTTAAGTTATGATTGCAACTTGATTAACTAGAATGGTTATTATAGCTACCTCAGTGGGTGGAAAAAAAGAAAAATGTTTGTTTCAACCCTAATTATTGAAAATCCAAATTATTTAGCAATAATATCTCTAAAACTATATTAACAATCTTCTGCCTTAGGGTATAAATTTAAAAATCTGAATCCAGGATACTTTACTGATTGAATGCCATTATAATAAAAATCTATTCGATCTTAATAGTAACCCAAATGTGTAACAGACTTTTAAAATATGAATTCCAGGTAAATCTATAGAGATGGGAACTGGTTAATAATTACCAAGAGGTATGGCAGGAGAGGTTGGAGGAGAAATAGAGAGCTAACAACAATGAGTACAAGAAAGAAGAAAATGTTCTGAAGTTGATGGCGATGATGATTGTTCAACTCTTCTTAATATGATTGAACTGCTAAGTTAACTCTTGTGAATTATATGCCCATAAAGCTACTTAAAAAAAATAAAGGGCATCTAGGTCTTTATGACCTAGATACACACACACACACACACACACACACACACACACACACACACACACCAAAAACAATCTGGCAAAAAGCTTTGCTGGGCATAGCTTTTATTTTATTTATTTATTTTTTTTCTTTTAAAAAAATCATTTTATTTGGGGCTCATACAACTGTTATCCCAATCCATACACACATCAATTGTGTAAAGCGCATTTGTACATCGTTTCTCAAAACATTTTCTCTCCATTTAAACCCCCGACATTAGGTCCTCATTTTTCCCCTCCCTCCCCGCTCCCCGCTCCCGCATGAGCCCTTGATAGTTTATAAATGGTTATTTTGTCATATCTTGCCCTGTCCGACGTCTCCCTTCATCCACTTTTTGATTGTCTGTCCCCCAGGGAGGAGGTCACACACAGTTCCATGTAATCGGTTCCCTCTTTCCTACCCATTCTCCTTTTACCCACCCTGTTTTGCCACTCATGCCACTGGTCCTATAGGGCTCATCCGTCCAGGATTCCCTGTATTTTCAGTTCCTATCTGTACCAGTGTACCTCCTCTGGTCTAGCCAGTCTTGCAAGATAGAATTCGAGTCATGGTAGTGGGAGCGGGGAGGAAACCTTTAGGAACTAGAGGAAGGTTGTATTTCTCATCATTGTTACATCGCACCCTGACTGGCTCATCTCCTCCCCGAGACCCCTCTGCAAGGGGATCTCCAGTGGCCTACTAATGGGCTTTGGATCTCCATTCTGCACTCCCCCCATCATTCACTATGGTAAGATTTTTTGTTCTGATGATGCCTTACACCTGATCCCTTCGACAACTCGTGGTTGCATAGGCTGGTGTGCTTCTTCCATGTGGGCTTTGTTGCTTCTGAGCTACATGGCCGCTTGATTACCTTCAAGCCTTTAAGACCCCAGACGCTATACTTTTTGATAGCCGGGCACCATCAGCTTTCTTCACCACATTTGCTTATGCACCCATTTGTCTTCAGTGATCCGTTCGACAACCCGTGATCACACAGGTTGATATGTTGTTCCATGTGGGCTTTGTTGCTTCTGAGCTAGATGGCCGCTTGTTTACCTTCAAGCCTTTAAGACCCCAGACGCTATACTTTTTGATAGCCGGGCACCATCAGCTTTCTTCACCACATTTGCTTATTCACCCGTTTTGTCTTCAGCGGTTGTGTCGGGAAGGTGAGCATCATAGAATGCCAATTTACTAGAAGAAAGTATTCTTGTGTTGAGGGAGTACTTGAGTGGAGGCCCAATGTCCTTCTGCTACCTTAATACCAAACCTATAAATGTAGGCTCATAGATCTATTTCCCCATGGGCATAGCTTTTATAGTACGCATTTTTCCCACTAGGGGAGCATCTAGCAACTAGCTCTGAGTTAGTGCACCCAGTGGCATCACCTGGGAAGGCTCTCTCTGGTCACGGTGAATTTTTTCATAAAAACAGTTTCGCTCAAGCCTCATTTTTTGTGATTGCCCATTTAAAAGAACAGTGTGTGGCTGTGAAATTTTGTTTCCTGCTCAGGAAAAAATGCTGCAGAAACTGTTATGATGTTGAACACGGCTTACAACGGCAATACTATAGGAAAAACTCAAGCTTACGAGCGGTTTTCTCATTTCCAAAGAGGTGAAATGTCAATTGATGAAAAGCCTTGGAATGTCCTTCAACTACTTGAATAGGCGAAAATGTCAACAAAATTCATGCACTTGGGTAAGTTATCTGTGCTATCTCGGAGCTTGGTTCAACGAATATTAATGGAAGATTTGGGAATGAGAAGGTTCACTGGGAAATTTTTGCCTCAGGTTCTGACTGGCCAGGAAAAAAGAGCGTTGAATGGAAACATACCGTACTTTGAAAGAACAGCTCCAAAGTGACCTAGACTTTTTTCCCCAAGGTCATTACTGGTGAAGAGACATGGTACTATTCTTTTTCTTCCTTTTGTCTTTTTTTATTGTTCTTTTCTTTTCTTTAGTTGCTTTGTTTTGCTTTCTCACTTTTTTTTAAAAATCATTTTATTAGGGGCTTATACAACTCTTTTTTGTTTTTAAACATTTTATTAGGGGCTCATACAACTCTTATCACAATCCATACACACATCCATTGTGTAAAGCACATTTGTACTTCATTCTCAAAACATTTTCTCTCCACTCAAACCCCCGACATTAGGTCCTCATTTTTCCCCTCCCTCCCATACAACTCTTATCACAATCCATACATACATCAATTGTGTAAAATGCATTTGTAAATTCATTACATGGTGCTATTCTTAAGACCCCCCAAAGCAAACATCAATGGAAGACACCATCATCACCTCGCTTTAAAAAACCTCTTCAAGTGAAAAATCAAGATGATGCTCATTTGTTGTTGTTGTTTTTAATGTGAGGGGGGGGATAAAATACCCGCTCATGCAATCATCTCAGTGAGCCAGTTTTTGGCAAAAACAGCATGTCTCTCTTGTCCCACGTACCTTACTCACCTGGCCTTGCTCTGTGCAACTACTTTTTGATTCCATGGATGAAGAGAGACATGAAAGGATAGAGATTTGATGATGTAGAAAAGGTGGTAGGGGTAAAGAGGGAGGTACTATCAGCCATCCAAAACAGATGCGTTTGAAAAATGTTTCCAAGATGGGAATCGCAGATCTGACAAATGTACTAAGTGTAATGGAGAGTGTACTTTGAAGGTAATGCAATTATTTTGTAAAAAAAAAGAAGTATACAGCTTTTTTTCTTTTCAAAATAATTTTAAGTATAGACCAGAAAAAATATTCAGGTGCCTCCGAATTGTTTGAGGTTTTATTATCTCTAGGAAGAAAGGTATAATATAAATAGAGGCCAACACAAATTGTTCCATTTCAAATATTTACTTTCCTATATCATATATATATACACACACTAACACATAAAAGTTGTTTTCAAAAGCAGTATAGATTTCTATGTGGTGAAGAATAACATATTTAAAGTGGAAACTATGAAGTTCAACTAACAATCCACCAGAATGGTTCATTTGCTACCATGAAGCAAAAATAGATAGCTAAATAAAATAGATAAAATTACCTGTGATTGGATAAGAGAATTGGGAAATTCAAACCTTTTCCTGATATCATCCGACATTTTTGCTTTTCTTACATGTATGTATGTAACTTCTGTAACCAAAACAAAAGAAAACCTGTTAGTCCTGATGAGGCATTTAGAACAATCCATTGTCTTACATCTTCAAAAGATATCAAGCAGTTCCTGGAAAACAGGCACAGGGCTCTGCACGTCAATGCTCCACAGCACCCCGTCATGGCCCACTCAGCAGCATGCAAAGGCCAGAGCTGCTACATGAACCAGAAATGTCCAGCAGATATGGGTGTGTCCCAATAGGACTAGTCCTGAAACAGATAAATTCACACAATGGAGGCCAAAAGGGATCCCAAGGCTCCCGCTTAAATCACATGATTAGAGTATGCCACTGCACATTCAAATCAGAAATCAGTGCTTGTATGCGTCAAAACTCTGGAGGGGAAAAGGGGGCACAGTCATGAAATGGTTTTGAACTATTCCTCACGTTTGCACAAGCTTTCGTGTGGACAGTAATCCAGCTGCTAGAGACAAGTGTGAGACCTAGGTGAGCCATTTTCAAGGACAGAAATGACACAGAAAATGACACCTTCAAGCAGACTGTCTTGCTCCCAAAGCAGGGACAAGCGGGCAATGAGCACCAACTCTTAATATGTGTATCACACACCTCTCACTCCTTCTGGGCTCTCCAAAAGAAGCACAGAAAAAGAATAGGGCAGGGCAGGAGGTAAAACAGGCACAAAATACGAAGATTTCCTAAAGATCCTACTTTCTCCATTTCCCCTACAGCAAAGATTCCACTAGATGACACTACTTTTTAAAGGTGGGTTCTTTAGGAAACCTAATTATTACAACATGAACTTAAATTCATGGCAGCACAGTACCCTACGGTACCTTATAAAAACAAAAGACAATTAAACCAAGCTCTCTTCAGCTTAAAAAAGAGGGGGTAGGGCAGGGGCACCTTGTCTACAACTGGCAGCTCTTTTTAACCGCTTTCTTCTAAAACTGAGCTACTTCAGCCTGGCTTTCTTCTGTAGCATCTATGTCCAACTTAACTCCCTTCAATTGGCCCTTCTGCACTGGGCCATGCTCCACTCTCAGACGGCAGACCATTTCCCCTGCCAAAATCTACTCAAAAGATTAACCAAAAAAAAAGTCAATTCAGGCTCACAGCAACCCTATCTGGAGTCTCTGAGACTGTCATTCTTCATGGGAGTTGACAGTTTCATCAGTTGAAACTCAAACCCACTGTTTGAGGGACCCTTTAGGACAGGATGGAACTGTTCCTGTGGGTCTCCAAGACTGCGACAGTTTACAGGAGTGGAAAGCCCCATCCCAGGAGTTTGAACGACTGACTTTGTAGTTAGCAGCGCAACTCAGACACTACACACACACACACACGCACGCACGCACGCACGCACGCACGCACACGCGCGCCAGGCTTCACCTCATCAGCCAAAACTTCTACAACTTCCCAGTGGTGTCAATCATACCTTTCCTGGAATTATCATCTCCTTTGATTTCCATACTCTATCACAATGGAATTCCTCAACATGTCTCTGATGGAAATCCAGGATCAAAGGAAAAATGCATGGGTGACATGGGTGCATTAGGGTGCAAATCTGCTTCAAAAGATCTCTTCATAGTACTGAAAACCAAGGATGTTACTTTGAGGACAAGGTATGGCAGACCCAAGCCACGGTATTTTCTGTTGCCTCATATGTGTGTAAAACTTAAACATGTGAAGACAGAAGACGGAAGAACCCATGCATTTGGATTATGGTGCTGAAGGGGAACATTTAAAGTAGCATGGACTGCTAAAAGTACAAGTGAATCTGTCTTGGTAGAAGTACAGCCAGAGAGCTCCTGAGAGGCAAGGATAGCATGACTTTAACATACTTCGGACATATTGTCAGGAGACACCAGTTGCTGGAAAAGAGCATCTTGCCTGGTAAAGTGGAGGGGCAACAAAAAAGAGGAGGGCTCTTGACAAGACATGTGGGCACAGGGACCACAACAACGGGCTCAGAGAAACAGGAGCGGGCAGTGCTGTGTTCTGTTGTGCACAGGGTCGTAATGGTTGGGAACTGACTTGATGGCACCTGATAGCAACAACAACCAACAATGGTGCTACTGCAAAGCAGGTGGTGCCTGACCATTTGATCTCATTTTCGAGCCATTTTATTGTGTTCTAGTTGTAATACTTCCTGCTTCTTTCTGGTTGAGAATTTCTTGATGACCTGGTCTACTTCTTTTGTTAGGAGTCTGTGTAAGTTCTTAACGTCCATGTGCGCTAATTTGGGGAAAGCTGCTTCTTTTTCCATTGGAATGTTTTCTCCAGTTTGCTGCTGTTGTTGGGTTGGTGTTTTGTTTTGTTTTGTTGCATGTTTTGCATGGGATGGGAGACACTGGATCAGGGGCTTATTGGAGGCTTGTTTGGGGGGGAGGGATAGATTGGAGGGAAACGGGAGCTAATGACGAAAGCAAATGGGAAGAAAATGTTCTGCATGCAACTGATTGTAGTAATAACTGTACAACTCTTTTTAATATGACTGAACTATAGGCGTGTATGATATGTGAACCATATGTCCATAAGACAATATTTTAAAAGAAGAAAGAAATCTTATGGGGGGGGGGCATTTTGTGTGGGGCATACTACACATTATATTCCAAACATAAAATCCAATTCAGTGCTTTAACAAATACTTAATTTTGTGCTTACTATCTGCCTGTCACTGTTCTAGGTGCTTGAACTCCATTCTTGAACACAACACAAAAGACAGCAATCCCTGCCTCCTTGGAGCTTACAGACCATCACAGGGAGAGGGCCCTGCAAAAACACGAAGGCAATACAGTGCTCGAGGCCTGTCCTAGGGAATCCAAGAGAACAAGCAGCCTGGATCCAGCAGGGGGAAGGAAGAAGAGAACAGAGCATGAAGTTAGCAAGAGACCACAAAAGGCTCTGTGGGCCCCAGGAAGGAAGGGTGCATTCGTTCAAAGAGAAATGGGAAGCTCCTGAGGAAAGAAGTGGTAAGATCTTAATAGAATCCCTTGAGGTGAGAAGCGGTTGGACTGTGGACATACTTGAAGTCGGAGCCAATGTGGTTGCACAGAGACTGGATGAGAGGATAAGAGCCAGGAAAACACCAAGGCTGACTCCAAGGTTTTTGATCTAAGCAACTTTATTTTTAATTTCAACTGTCTTTGGCCAACCTGCACATTAAAGAACAATGTATTTATTACTTCCTGTCTTGACTTTTTTCCTGAAAGGAAACAATAAAATTTCGTTAACTGATATGAAAAAAATAGGTTCTCGGGGGAAGACTAGTCGTGCCATTTGGGGCAGGTAAGTTCTACGTTTCTTGAATATCCAGTGGTGGTCTTAGGTAGACAAGTGGGGAATCTCATGCCAGAAAGAGAAACTTGAACTGAAAATAAAACCATGCACAGTATTAAGGAATCTGAGAGATTTTAAAGCAAGAAGTCTGCTTAAGGTTGCTTCCCCAGAGTTCATCAAACTAATCTGGTCACCCAAACCTTTTTCCCCCCACCCCAAACTTTCTAGAAATGCCTATTAACAGCCTGCACAATGAGTCTGTGGTCCACTTCAGAAAATGCTGCTCAACTCTCTGGCTTCTGAGTCTCTGTCCATTGGGCTGCCAGCCGCGCCAGCTTGCTTCTTGTAGCGTTTTCCGTTGTCCCTGACCTATGTTCCTTTCTTCATAAACACGCTCATCCTTCATCTAGTTCCAGGTCTCCAAAGGCTTCCCTGCTCTCTCCTCAGCTAAGGCGCGAAGAGATCAAAACCTCAGATCTCCCAAACAAAGCATGCATTTCCTCTCACAAGAAACTCTCTTCATTTCCATTCGGCCCTGTCCCGTCTCACAACTTCCTTTCCCACCACTCTCTAAACCCAGTCGGCCACAAAGTCCGCTCCACTCTTCCCAGCATGGCTTCGCCCACCCCTCCTCTCCACGTCCACACTCACCACTCTCTTCTTCCCGCCAGGCTTACTTCCTAACTGCCTAGGCTTGGGGCTTCTCCATGCTTGAGTTCATCCCATACATGGCTGTCAGATGAATAGTCCTAAAATGCTATTTCCATCGCACCGTTTCCCTGGGAAGAATTCATAGTGGGTTTGCAATTGCCTGTCAGATTAAATGCAAATTCGACTGCCGAGCTTTGAAGTCCTCTATCAAAGATCTAACCCATTCCACTTCATTTTCACTTCTGTCCAATTCCAATCTAGCAAAAAATAAAATAAAAATAGTCCACAAATGGCTTCACGTGCTCAAAATCTGCTCATTCCTTAGGACTGCATCCTTCGGGGTCTCTCCCACAGAAAATGCCCTTCTCTAAGTGCCCTCCCCCACGCCACCCCCACCACCATCTCTTCTCCAATCATCCACACCGCCCAGGAGTCCGCTTGCTTGGTACATCTTCAGTACTACTGCACATGATCTGACCCACGCCAGCATGGGACTCTTTGTAAGAGGACTGGGAAGCTTTTTCTGGAAAGGGCCAGACAGCAACTGCTCACGTCTGCTCTTATGGCAGGAAATCAGCCATGGACAGTACCCCGGCAAATGCTGACTCCTGCTTTGCAAAATGACCTTTTAAAATAATTAATTTTTAAAAAGTTGTCAATAATTGGCATTCACATTTGACCCTTTGTTTAAAAGGCATCTGGGGTAAATAAATAGGGTCAATTGAGCCTTACTTATTGGCTATGAGATAGAAAAGTACCCTTTTGTCAAAGAAAATAAATTTTTTCCTGCCCTTGAACTCTGAAAGAAATTTCTCATTGGGGGTTTCATGCATGAGATTTGGGGGGAATATACCAGCAATATTGCTGACAACAGCAGTAAAAACAAAACTTAATGGTATTTTTTTCTTAAAACAAACCCTGGAGAAAACCACAAGTATAATATAGCATGTAATTCAGCAAAAGAGCCGGAGCTAATGGAGTCCCGGGCCAGAGGTTTCTGGTGATCTAATCTAATTCAATAGACATAGACCTTTGAGTACCCAGAGAAGTAGATGGGTATCAGTCTATCATGGGCCAGTCTCAAC